CCGCCCCCAAGGCACCCCAGCCCCGCCCACCCACCCTGGTGTCCCCAGAAGCTCAGGTACCTGAGCACCTCAGCCGCCCAGGCGCCCCCGGGGCCCCTTCGGGCAGCGTCGAAGTTCCGCCGAGCGTGGAAGTATTTGTCTGCATTTATGTAGTTGGCTTCTCGCATGTCGGAGTAGGCCTCCACATGTCCCAAGACCCTGAGAGGCAAGGGAAAGGCAAAAGGATACCAGGTCAAGAGACAACTCTGACAGCAGCTTAGAGGGAAGCAGAGCGCAGACTTCCACTGAGGCGGGGTTCAGCCTGTGAGCAGTTTCAGGTCCTATGGCTCAGAATGTCCTTGAGGGTGGGCGCCTCCAGGTAACTCTGAGGAGGGTCCTTGAGGCAGGACGCACCTGGGCAGACTTGGCACCTGTCCCCTGCAGTGCTGCCTGTCCCGTCACCCCCAGGGGCTCTGCGTTACCTGTGCAATGAGCAGGGCCACATCATGAAACGGACTCTCGACCTCAGACTACTGAAACCCTGGCTCCATCCTCCGGGTCTCGGGGCTGCCCTGAGCATGTAGTTCAGCACCCTTCTCCACCTGATGCGCGCTCCCCAGCGCCACAAACCCTCTCCCAGATATTGGACCCTGGAAGAGAAGCATCGGTGCTTAGTGAAGTGACATAGGATAATTCAGGAGCATACATGAGTGACATGGGGACATGGAAGGTAGACTCTGAGTAAGGGCACACACAGCATGTCTGCCCCAACTCCCACGGAAAGGTGTGTTTCCCAACTACGGAACTGTGACTTGAGCCCCTCTGATGGTGGGGGGTATACGTGTCCCTAAAGTCTCCTAGAGTCTCTCCTGGTGCTGTGGGCTGCTTCGGGAAGCACCAGAGCAGGGATCTGGGCTTTGGCTATCCATCTGGAGAGGTGCGACAAGTCCTCAGCCCAGGCCACAGACCAGTCCAAACTCTCAGGGTGCGGGTGGGTGGCAGGCAGGGGTAGTGTTCGATGTGCAGCAGGAGCCCCAAGGTGGGCCTGAGATGACCGAGGAGCTGCAGGAGTGAGAAGCACACACGTCTGCCCGGCGAGGGCTTTGACCTCATCCACAGCTGGTTCCAACCTTTCCTCTGCGATCTGTTGGCTGGCAGCTGAACCCTGGACAATGCACAAGGTGGCTCCAAGCCCCAGTTTCCTCACCTTCAACACGGGGGAAGATGCCCACCTCACAAAATAATCCTGAAGTTAAATGAGAAAATACGCAGTTCCTGGTGGGAACCTTGTGTGCATTAGTTCCTGTTTCCTATCAAGAAACTGGAAAAGCAGGAAACAGGGTGAGTCAAGAAGCTGTCACTGACAGAATGGGGCAATGACCTCTGTAATTAGCCAGCCAGGAAACTGAAGAGGAGAAGGAAATCATTCATAGTTTTTACCAGACTTTCATGGGGTTGGCTCGCACATGTTCTAGGATTGACACAATTCTGTCTCACTGTGCGTCTTCTACTCGAAGCAAACAGCTTAGCATCGCCTGGGAATAGGGAGCCTTCCTTCTCACTGCCTGACTGACAGGGCGCCTAAACTCCTGATCTGCTCAGCAGCTTCCAAAACACCTACCCGACCTGTCACCCTGGGCAGCTCACTGAGGACAGGGCTCCAGTCCCAGCAGGCCCAGACAGAGTCACGGTCCCGGCAGGCCCAATACAGGGCTGCAGTCCTGGCACACCCAGGACAGGGCTCCATTTCCAGCAGGCCCAGGACAGGACTCCAGGCCCAGCACACAGCACCCTGTGGCTTGGAGTCGCTGGCGCCCCCGCTCTTTTATGGTCCAGGAGTCTGAGGTGTCGCTCAGTATGCAGCAGTTTCTGGAACATGTGCTGATTCATTCAGCACACTTGAGAACCGCTGTCTTAGGGGAAAGGAGACCCCCTCACAACCCTAGAGCACCTGAGGCAGGCAGTCCTGCCCGCCCGCAGTTCCATTGCAGAAACTAGCAGCTGTGCATTCAGACACAGCCCCTGAGAGCATCACTTCCCTTTATCAGTGCAGGGAGAAGTTTCTCTAGAAATTCTTCTCCCTTCGCCTTCTGGACACATTGGTGAGCCTCCCAGGGCCCTCCTGGCCTCCCACGGAGCCAGGGCTGGGATCTGTGCTTTTCCAGCACATCAGTAAGGGGCCCCAGAGCACCCAGGGCCAACCAGATCTCATGAGCATACCTGAGAACACCAGGTGCCACCCAACTGGAGTCTGGGGACCCCATAGGTAGGTGCCAGGACCTCCTTGGTCAGCTGCAGAAAACCTGCTGGGAAAGCCTGGCTCCTGTCCCCCCTGGCCCTGGCTTCTCCTGCCTCCACCAGCACAGGACCACACCAGGTGAATCTGGTGGCCTTTGGTGACAGTCCCCCTCCCTCAGCCTTACCTTGGGCGGCCTCAGTAATGAATGAAAAAATGCTGCTGACTCCTAGGATCAAGGAGCAGAACACCAGGCCTGTGAGAAGCTTCATGGTGCTGAAACGGCAGGAGGGGGGCAGGGAGAGCGGGGGAGGCCCTACAG